CAGCACGAGAGCAGCATCGACAGAGTTTGAGTGCTGCAGGAGGAGACACAAAGGAGACAAAAAGGAGACAAAAAGGAGACAAAAAGGAGACAGATAAAGAGACAGAAGAGAGACAGAAATGAGACAAAAAAGAGACAAAAAGGAGACAGATAAAGAGACAGAAAGGAGAGAGATAAAGAGACAGAAGGGAGACAGAAGGGAGACAGAAAGGAGACACAAAGGAGAAAAAAAGGAGACAAAAAGGAGACAGATAAAGAGACAGAAGAGAGGCAAAAAGGAGACAGAAAGGAGATAGAAAAGAGACAAAAGGGAGACAGAAAGGAGACAGAAAGGAGATAGAAAAGAGACAAAAAGGAGACAGATACAGAGGGAGATGACGAGGCAGAGAGGAGACACAAAGGAGACAGAAAGGAGACAGAAAGGAGACAGAAAGGGGAGAAACAGAAGCAGCACACAACCCCCTGTCTGTTCCTTGCTCTACTCCTGGCAGAGGGTTTAGGGTTTAGGGTTTAGGGTTTAGGGTTTAGGGTTTAGGGTTTGGAGGCGCAGCAGCGTTTTGCTGCTGCGCTTACTTTATGAAGCTCTCCCGTAGCAGCAGCAGCAGCAGCAGCTGCTGCTGCTGCTGCTGGCCCGATGCCCCATGCTGCAGCGCAGCAGAGGAGACGAAGTGCTGCTTCTATATCGAGCAGCAAGTTGCTGCTGCTGCAGCAGCAGATAGCCAGCTGCAGCAGCTGCACTGCAGCAGCAGACACAGCCCCACTGTCTCCTCGGGGGAGACAAGCATAAGCGAGAGCAAAGAGACTAATAGAAGGAACACACAGCTCTCCACTCATCCCCTGCTGCTGCTGCTGCTGCTGCTGCTGCTGCTGCTGCAGCAGCTGCTGCTGCTGCTGCTGCTGCTGCTGTGCTGCGGTGTCTCCGAGCTGCTGCAGCCGGTGCAGCAGACANGCTGCTGCTGCTGCTGCTGCTGCTGCTGTGCTGCGGTGTCTCCGAGCTGCTGCAGCCGGTGCAGCAGACAGCGCTCGAAGGCAGCAGCTAACTCTTCTGTCTCCTCTTTGTCTCCTCCCAGCAGCGGCAGCCAGCAGCAGCGCAGCAGCAGAGAGAAAGCGGCAAGACAACGAGCCTTGAGAAGGGGAGAAGCAACAAAGACAGGAGAGTGCTGCAGCAGCATCGAGACACCCCATGAAGCAGCAGGCCCATGCAGCTGCTGGTGCTGCAGTGCTGCTGCTGCTGCTCCTCCTCCTGCTGCTCCTGCTGCTGCTGCTGCTGCTGCTGCTGCTGCACTCGGTGCTGCTGCAGCACCCGCTGGTGCTGCTGCCCACAATACTGTCTCCTCAGCCACAGCACGGCATAGATGAGACATTCCTCCTGCTGCTGCTGCTGCTGCTGCTGCTCCTGCTGCTGCTGCACCTTCTGACTCTCCCCTGGCTGCTGCTACCAGCACAGCAGCATCTCTGCAATCATCACTTGCTGCTGCTGCTGCTGCTGCTGCTGCTGCTGCTGATGCTGATGGGCCCCCGATGATGCAGTCCTGCTGCAGTCTGTAGGAAGAGAGCTCGATCATCCACAGCTGCTGCTGCTGCTGCTGCTGCTGCTGCTGCTGCTGCTGACGTCTTCTGTAGACAGCAGCAACACAGCGAGACAGTGCAGCATCAGCAGCAGCAACAGCAGCTGCTGCAGTTGTGCTGCTGCGCATTGCTGCTGTATACATAGCCCCCGGGCTGGGGGGTTTGGGGCCCCCAGCAGAGAAAGCAAGAGAAGACAGAGACAGGTCGAGAGCTTCAAACAATCTGTCTCCTGCTGCTGCTGCTGCTGCTGCTGCTGCTGGTGCTGCTGCCGTAGCAGCAGCAGCAGCAGATGCTGCTGCTGCTGCTCGTGGAGGAGAAGGAAGCGCTAAGCGGACGGCAGAGTTGAGGCTCCGGATAGAAGGCAGCCGCAGCGTTGCCTCTAACACGCTGCTGCTGCTGCTGCTGCTGCTGCTGCTGCTGCTGCTGTTGCTGCTGCTGCTGTTGCTGCTGCTGCTAGGCCTGCCCCTCAGCTGTTGCTGCCAGCGGCGCAGCAGGCTAGAGCCCGCAGGAGGAGCAGCAGCAGTTGCTGCTCCTTTTATAACTGCTGCTGCTGCTGCATCCGCACGAGCAGCTAGTGCTGCAGCAGCAGCAGCAGTAGGCGGTGCAGCAGCTGCAGCTCTTGCTGCCCCCGCATGACAATACAGCATCCCCTCTGCTGCTGCNCAGTAGGCGGTGCAGCAGCTGCAGCTCTTGCTGCCCCCGCATGACAATACAGCATCCCCTCTGCTGCTGCAGCAGCAGCTTCTGCAGCAGCAGCAGCAGCAGCAGCAGCAAGAGTGTCGGTGTCGGAGCACGTTTGTTGTTGCTGCTGCTGCTGCAGCAGCAGGACCTCTCGAGCTGCGCGGTAAGCAGCAGCAGCTGCTGCTGCTGCTGCCTGCTGCTGCTGCTGCAGCAACTCTGCTGCCATCGCCTTCAGCAGCAGCGTGGGGAGC